GTGTCGTCCGTGTCTTATCTACCCCAAGAATTTTGCACAATTCTGCAATAAGGTCCGACAAGAAGTTTCTCCCCTGATCAGTGTGTAACTGTCGTGGGACACCATACCTCAGCACGAAGTTCTCTACGAAACAACAGGCAACAGTTTCGGCCCTCTCATTTGGTATTTGGTAGGCCTCCATCCAATTGGAGAAATAATCGCCAACAACGAGTATGTACTTATTGCCTCTATCAGACTCATGAAAATGACCTGTAATATCCATCGCCACCCTCTCCATCGGGCTGCCAACAGCCTGCTGCTGAAGTGGTGCTCTATTTTTTTTTGGATGGTGATTTTCTTCGGGCGCAAGTATCACACTGCCGAATCCACGTTCGAATCCAACTGCGCATTTAATTCCGGCCAGAAATAACTTTGAGTTACCCTAGCTGTGATCTTTGCAACTCCTAGATGTCCGCTGGTTCCCCCCCCCCATAAAGTTCTTCTAGAGCTGCCGCTCTCATATCTACTGGACGGACCAGTTTCCAACTAATATCATGTCCGTCATCTGATTCCCACCTACAATAAAAAAAAAAACTCCATCCCGCACTCCAACAAGTTCCAAATCTGCCAGTACAATTTGTCAGTTCGGCTCAATCCAGCCATTTCCTCCCATGGCGGCTGTGGCCCGCCTTGATCCTTGATTTCCATAATACTCCGCATTGAATTTACGAATGTTATCGAGGCGAGTGTTTGGTTGTATTTGTACCACTCGTACGGAAGCATTCGCTCCTAATGAATCTAATGGTGGTTCCATTTCCGCATTGTCCACATGGTTTCCACGATAGCCCATCAGCTTTCCCATGTTTTAGTCCGGGCCGGTGAATCATACTCTCCTATCGCCTGTAGCCATCTCGCTAGCTGTCCTTCTGGATCCTTGAAATTCGTCAGCCAGCGCAATGACGCATGATCACAATATGGCGCCCATAAAGATACTGGCGATGGTGCCTTAAGTACACTACCACTGCTAACAGCTTTCGTCGTGTAGCACAATAATTTCGTTCGGATTTACTCAGGGTACGGCTTGCATAGCTGATTACTCTTTCCTCGTCACCCTGGACTTGTGAGAGTACTCCCCCAATACCTACATCACTCGCATCATTGTCCAATATGAACTGTCCCTCCGGTAGAGGGTAGGCGAAGACTGGTGACTTTGTTAATCGAACCTTTAGTTCCACAAAAGCTCCCTCACAGTCAGTATCCCATGAGAATCTTCTGGCTTTCTCAGTTAATTTATACAGTGGTGCTGCTATTGAGGCAAAACCCTTGATGAAACGTCTATAATACGAGGCTAATCCTAAGAAACTGCGTACTCCTCTGACCGAGGTCGGTGTAGGCCATTCCTTTATGACTTCAATTTTAGCCGGGTCAGTCATCAATCCGTCATGCGAAACTCAATGTCCTAGATACAAGACTTCCTGTTTGAACAGGGTGCACTTATTTGGTATATCCTAGGTATGGGATAGACATATTTTATGGTAACTGAATTCAAACGCCTGTAATCCACGCAAAAGCGCTTCGTCCCGTCTTTTTTCGTGACCAAGACAACATTTGATGCCCATGGGCTCTCCGAATGCTCAATTAGGCCTCTGTCTAATAGGTCCTGCACTTGCTGGTATATCTGCTTACTGGCCTCCATCGTCTGGCGCCGGGGTTGTTCCTTAATTGGTTGTGCCGTTCCAACATTTATGTGGTGTTTTACTTCGCCAGTTCTCCCTAAGTCGTAATCTCCTCTAGAAAACACATCTTGAAATTCAGCCAAAAGTGATGAAACTTGTTCGTAGTAATTTCCGTCAATGGATGCCATGCTCCGATGCAACAGATCACTAAGGTGCTCGGGTGCTCGTCCGCTGCTAACAGGCGGCTCCTTCCCTATATATGTCAATTCGATTTGGTCTTCTAATATTGGTGTTAGCTTGCCAACTGTGGTTCCCTCTCGGAGGACTCGTCGTTCCTTTACCGGGGTTAAAAACGCGTACCGGTAGTTGTCCGTCTTCAACCTTCACTAATGTCCTTGCTAGAACTAGGTCATTCTTAGCAAGCTCCTCTTCTTGGTTAGGTTCCACTATTCCTACTACCGGGCAGCTCGTCAACATTCGTATCTTCTATAATCACGTTCGAATTGAACTTGGTACCTTCGGGTCCAGTTAAGCTAATTGATTCCCTTTCAATTTCCATCTGGAGTTTCCCCAGATCCAATAAAGATCCACTTGATGTGTGAAAACGTCCATCCCTAGTAATCCAGTCACTTTCAAATTTGCAATGGTTACTCGAACCGATTGAAATGTATGACCAATCTGTAGTCCTACGTAGGCACATCCTATGGTCTCTAGTGAGGTCCCATCTGCTTGTTAAAGGTTCCTCTTTGCTCTCTGAAGTTCTGGACGTTTTTCTTTGGGTAATTGATAATATAAATTGGAGGACAAGACTGTGTTGGAGGCTCCTGTGTCGACTAGTAGGGCAGCCTTAATTCCATTAACTTCAACTAGTACATACAATCCTTCTCCTGGGCTGTATTGTGAGTATGTCCTTTTCTCCGGCTGATTTATTGTGTCGTTGAAGGGGTTCTTCCGCTTCCCTGAGTATTTGATGGGTCCTCGGTTCGTTCCAGCCTTCTCCCGACCCATGGAGTCGGCTGCACGTCGTTTCCCGATTGACGTGTATAATTTTTCGGGCAGCGTAGAGCAATGTGTCCCTCCTGTCTGTGATTATAACACACCAGTCTTCTCCTCTGCTGCCACATTTTCCCGTCCTGCCCAGCCGGGGTTTCGGGTACTGACGTCGTCTGTTTTAAACGCAGGTTTGCCTCTATACGTGCCATTCAATCTGCTATTTTTCTCTAAAAGGCCACCTGCCTTGAATCTTCCTCCGGTATAAGCGGTCTAACATATTTCATAGGCTGTCTAGTTGGCCTTTCATCCTCCAATTTTAAGAAACTCTCTGTGGATAACGCTCCACGTGTGGCTTCGTCTAGAGTGGAAGGTGCCGCTTGGAAGATCCCTTCTCTTATTTCCGGTCTTCCTACTGTCTCTATATAGTGCCCCTTCGCTAAGCGTTCTACTCCGGCCTCGTCAAATTCGGGATATGCCGGGTATGCCAACTCTCGAACAGCTTGTACTAGCTCCTGAAGGCTCTCCTTTGGTCCTTGCCTCCTTAATCGTAATGTGATTAGGTGGTTTTTTGCTTTCCGTCCGGGTCCAAATCGTTGCTCCAAAGCATAAAGTAATTCTGTGTAAGTGATTTCCAGCCCTTGGCTAGCCCCAGAACTTTCAGAGGCCTGTCCCTTACTGGGCTCTCAAGTCTTAATGACTGACTTCGACTATAAACTATTTTATAGAATTACTACAGGTCCTACCTTACTAGACACTAACGTCGGGATTTCTCAGTTCTAAACTTCATGAGATCCAGAGCTCAACTACTACTCTTGGGCGATGGGTCTTAAGATCCCAACCCAGCTATTTTTCGATAGCCAATCGGCTCCCAGCATTAGCGAGTGGTCTAATCTATTTATAATAGAGGGGTGGACTGCACCATTTTGTTACAATATTGTGAAATACATAAAAAGATGTAGCCTAATAGTGCGTGTTTTGAGCTATAGAAAAAGGCAAAACTAATGAAAAGAAGTCATGTTAATGCAATGATGATTATGTATATATTTGGCCGGACCAATAAAAATAGCTTCCGACGCCCCTGGGTTGCTGGAAGCACTAGTTTAGGACTAGGCCCTATACCTTTCCTAGGCCTCAGACTATTGAAGAGGCCTCGTAGTCAGACCTAGCGCAGCCTAGACCGACACGATCGTCTATAGGCCCAATCGTCTGGAAATGGAGTCGATGTCTCTTGAGCCCCGATCTTCCGTCACCCGGCCGTAGCAGCAGCACAAACCTATGCACAAACTAAGCCTCAGAACGCCTCGCTAACATCACATTGGTCACACCGTGTATGTGCGATGTTTTTATGTAGACGGTATAATTTATACACGACGTATCACCATACGAGCCACCCCCTCCCCCCGGCAGAACCCGTTGTATTTCAATAGCAACTACCGTCGCTTTGCTTGTTAAAATTTAAAAAAATATTGATCCGACTGAGGGCGTAGTTTATTTTGAATGGAAGGCCATGTTAATTATTTTTGTAACTTGCACGTATTTAGAGTAATTCTTCAGTTTTTTTCGGAGATTTGTATGAATAAAAATATATCGTCATATTTACGTAGGCCTATTTATACTCTATTTACGTAGGCATACTTATACGGCTAAAATCTGGAACACGTAGAACATGCATCTTTAAAGATAGACCGCATTTGAAGAAGCCTAAAATATAATGTATATATGGAAAACATGTAGGCCTATTTCGATGTGCATGATGAAGCTATGTCGCTTGTTTAACGTTCAGATACGCTTATAAATTGTAATGTCTTTAAAAGACATGCAATTAAAGCTTTTTGTATTTCTTTAATTTAAACTGTATTATGTGAATTGATGATGTCAATAAAGTTATTGGATATTTTAAATAAAGTATGTTAAAAACAAAACTATATGAACTCCACTTTACATAGTCTCTCCATATTGGTTCTATCCATGAATTTAAATATAACATAGACTAGCGTGTCATAATGGTACAAGAATGCAATGCATGTGTCTATTAAAGATGCTAGCCTCCCTGTTCCTTCTAAAATTATCTTTCGTTTTGTATTATCAAAATAATGAGTGATTTAAACATCTTAGCGAAATCAGGGAATTCAGTAGGAGTAATACTTATCTAAAAAACGACTATAATTGCTGAATTGAAACTTGGCCAAAGTTTTTGTTATCATAGATCTTAAATTGATCCTACCAGTGTAGGTGCATCTCAATTCCAACGTTACCATCATGTGATTTGTTATCATTGTATGCAATATAGACATTGCTGCGTATATTACATTCTGCTTATACAACTTTTGTCATTAACTTTTAATTTTTTAGGCTACCTGAAAAGATTGCGAGGTATTAGTGTGGTTCGTGTTTACAGTGAAACCATAGAGGATAAAGATTACCCAAGGCCTTGGCTTACAAAACCCAAGCGGAAGTTTTCTATGACAGGAGCGTCCGTTGATTCAGGAAACCACAATATAGCTCTTCATCACCGAATACGTCAAAGAGGAAATAAATTTTCAAGCAAAATACAAAAAATGGAGTCGGAGTTTAACAAACGAATAATGGATAATAAAAAGACCAAATCGAGAAAATCTACGGGCATTCAAGCTAAAGGTCAATTTCCAATTTTTACAAAGGAGGAACTATATACATACAACAAACTAATTACAGATGCTAAGGTTAGAGAATACAAATAAATACTTCTGCCTATTTGTGTTAGATTGTTTAAAGACAATTGCCTCATCATGCATTATAATTAATATCATTATCATAATAATTATCCTATTCATTTTCGTCATCATCATCACCATCATCATCATCATCATCATCATCATCATCATATAATTTATTTATTATTTTAAATAATGGATTTAAGTCAATAATCTATGCTGAATGAAAACATAGAACAATATAACAAAATATGTTGTTTTTTTATTTACATTTATTTTGATTTCACATTAAAAGTGTTGTATATTTATAGCAATGTCTTAAGTGCAGATATGAACCCATTATGGTTGTGTACGAGCTAGCCCACAAAGTATTATCATTTATACTATCACTGTTATCATTTTTTTAATTTAAGGAAGTAGAACTGCGCATGTGCAATGTCATACTGACCACGTGTAATGTTGCTGGAGCCTCAGAAATCAAAAGATTTTGTAACATCATTGAATGCATCATCGATGAAGCGGGAATGTGTACTGAGCCAGAGTCGTTGATTCCACTAGTTGCATGTAAACCACACAAAGTTGTCCTTATTGGAGATCACAAGCAACTTCGGTATACGTTTTCTTTGTCTTACATTCATTCGTGAATTATCATAGTCTTTAGATAATCAGTCATCATCATCACCATCCCCATCAACATCACCATCATCATCACCATCATCATTGTTATTATTATCTTTACCTCCTCCGCCAGAAGGCGATTTTTTTTTATCGCAGATAAGTTGAGCAACAGAAATTCATGAATTATTCATTACAGTGTCAGCTGAAGGCATTACATTACTAGCACATGCGCAATCGCACTTTGCTGAACTTGGCTCACTGCTGCAGCATTTTCACGTTGCGGTGAGCGAAGATTGTCGACAATATCAATGCATGTAACACCTCCCTTATCAGTTCTGAAAGCCTGTAATACTGTTATTCTTTATTTTCATGGGAGACCTAAGAGAAATAACCTTAATAGATACCATGTTTCTAAAAATCACTTAATATATACATTTAGATTCCAAATTGCATGGTTCTCTAAGAAAAAAAGAATTAGTAGTTGTCTGCTATGTAACCATTTTATCAAATAGAGTTTTTATGGTTAAAGTGAAATCCTCTACCCTCTGAAAGACTAATAGACCAAAACCTTCCATTTTAAGAAACTTTCCCAATCCTCATTGAAATTTCTATAATGCTTTTATTTAAATTTTTTACTTTTTTTGGAATTTTGTATTACTTGGCTTTTTTTTTAGAAAATGTTTTTGTTTGCCCCCTCATTTATGGGGGGATTCATGGTTTTCACACTACATGTTGTTTGAACTGACATCACTCACATCAAGGAGGAGGAGGAGAGGAGGGAAAAAACAAAAAGATACAAAAGGAAATTGGACGGCAAAGTACCAATAAGGATTTGTATAATGAATATGTGTAAATTTAATTAATTCATACTTCATTGTGATGTAATCATATGTATCTCCTTTCTTCCAGTCCATTCGGTGAATGATTGACCCACCATGAAAAACATGGCAGTTTGCTTTTGGTGTTGACATACATGTTGATGATAACTGTTGACAGTGTTTGATATAGCTTCTGATAGCAGCGGCTTGTTAGGAGAATTTATAAATCCTTTGCTGTTAAATAAGATGGCGGATACAAAGAAAGTTCATACTTCAGCACCTCACGAAGGTTTTCGTTTTGGTCTGTGTAGTTTGCAATAACAAGCAGTCATTGAAAAAAAAAGTTGCGGATCCACAAAATTTCTTCTCCATGTGTAACCACCCTTTTTTCCATAGTTTTAACCTGGTCTATCCTATGGAAAACAAATAATGAATCTTCTTGTCCCTCCATTTTTTCACAATGTTATTGCGGATTTCTTCAGCTGTATGAACATTTTAACAGATGATGTTATAACAATGGATATGTCATACAAGTTGTCTTTCACTTGAAATGGATCATGGCACTCTATAAAGTATTTCAAAATGCACTCGGTGTCTTGGTTGTCTTTTTTACGTCTACAGGGTGTCTCCCTATTTTGATTTTTGGGTGTCGTTCGTTTACACACTTTCCATTTAGTGTGGGCAAATGTTGATTTTGAGAGGGCCCATGTTGTACGTATCTTGGAGTTTCAGCCATCCCTCTCCCATGTGTTAAACCACCTGTGCTTTTAATCGATCTCATCAAAACCTGTTGATAGTCGTGGCTGTGTGTATACGTCTCCAATGTTTGACCTTTAACTTTTGACACTACAAGATAATTGAATACATTATATTTGTAGCTATGTTTTTTACTGTTGATTTTTGCTAGATTCTGTACGTCTTCCAGAAAGGCTGACCTTTGACCCATGACAGTAACTTAACTTAGTAAATGAAATGTGCAGTTTTGATTCAATTAATTCGATGTGTTTAGTTTTACCTGCAAAGTATTTGCCATAGTAATTATTATTGTTATTGTCATACATTAACTTCACAATTAAAATAAATTTAGAATGCTATTATAGTTTATTTATAAATCCAACTTTGATTTCAACCTTTGACACTGCTAGGCCATTTTAACCTTTTTGTGTGCAACTATGATTATTTGTATTCAATGATATTTACATGTAAATATTTAGAATAAATGTTTTTTCTTAAAATAGATCCTGCTTAACTTCCTAAACAAGAGGTTGACCTTTGACATAATGACACCGAAAGGTCATTTGGCAATCAAATGTGTGATGTTGATTTCTTAAGTTCATGTTTTATACTTATTATCATTTATGCAAAATGTTTAGAAATTAATTATAAATGCAGAGTTTGTTATACTGCATAAACCTCTTACAAATCCAAATTTGACCCTGACCTTTGACACTGCCAGGTTTATGTGCAATTATGATTATTTGTAATTATGATATTTACATGTAAATATTTATAGTAAACACTTTTTTCTGCAAATATCCTGCTTAGCATCCCAAATAAGAAGTTGACCTTTGACTTTATGTCACCGAGAGGTATTTGGCAAATCAAATGTGTGGTTCTGATTCTTTGGGGTCATGTTTATATTTGTACCCATTACATTTATATGCTCAGTATGTAATGGTTAAGGAGAAAATTAGCTGCAAAGTTTACAAATTGTGGCCATTTTGGATTTATGCAAATTAGGTAATTTAGTATCGGCAGATCAAGGTAGATTTTAGATATGCTAATTGTTTTACAAGCACAAGAACATATTTCAGCAATAAAACAAACTTTTGCTTGACTGGGAGACCTATTTCTACAGCTTGTGTATTAATGCAGATTGGTCGTCGAATCGGGAAGCCTTCCAATGTTAAGCTCGGTTTCTATAATATTGCTCACCCTAACTTCGACAGTTGTCGAGAAGGTTGAACCTCTTGCAACATTGCCGATTGCACTGCAGACGATCGGAGTGCCTTCTCGATTGCGTCAGGCAGCTAGAAATCGAACACATCTTTAGAGGTAGAGTAAGCAAGTATAACACCTCCACATGTGGGGGGTTAGTAATTTCCCTCTGAATTTGAAGACCATGCCCATAGCTCAGTAGTTACTGTTTTTTTTATATACAAAAATATCACCACTACATGCGGTTTCTTTTAGAAGCCTGTAATCTTGTACGAAATGTACTTGAAATGTCCTGTATATTAATTGATGTAAATGTTCTCAACAAACATTTCTTGTTCTTTAGACCTATTGTCCAGGAACCAAACGCGAAAGAGCTTGAAATGGAAATATCATTATTAGAACGGTATGCTAACAAGGCTATCATGCTTGACATACAATATCGTATGGTAAGAACAATCACTGCTTTTGAATTTTTTATTAAAAGAATAAATATTAAATAAGTATGAAATAATAATATATTATTATTATTATTTTCTATTATGTGACGGCAATTTGAGATTTGAGTCCATGATAATTTGACGCGAATCAACAAATCTGGTGCAAACTTATCAGGTTGAACCTACAATAAATTGGAATAAGAACCAATCCCAGTTTCAATCAGAAACTAATAATAGAATTCTGACTTGATTGTACTTGTTTGGTTCTTTTTACGCAGCATCCCAGCATATGTGACTTTCCATCACGACAGTTTTACGGCAATAAACTTAAGACTCATGAATCGGTCAACGAACGGACGGCAGACAACTTAAACTGGCCAAGAGACGCCGATAAAGAATACCATACGTTATTCTGTAATGTAGCCGGGGAAGAAGAATCGCAAGCAGTAAAAACCGAAAAGGGTAACGAGAACAGCAAATGCAATAAAAAAGAAATAGAATGCTTGGTTAGTATTATGTAACTTATTGTTAATTATTATTCATTTTGCAGAAAAAATGTACTTTTACTTTAAAATGAATGTTCATTGGCCTCTGTTGTAGATTTTAAAAGTATTGTATTTATGGTAAATTTATAGTAAAAAAAACCCAGGAATTCTGTTATATTTCAATTTCAATAAATAATTCATATTAATCTATAAATGTCAATCAAAGCATTGGCGGTGCACACGTGGGCCAGGGCGAAATCAAAGTGTGCCAAAAGTCCATTTTAGTGACTATGGCTTTTACACTTTTTTCACATGATTGAAGATGGGCATACCCTGGTGAATCTATCCTGAAAATATTTTACATTTAAACGAATTTTAAGGGTGGTATTTTTCAACAAATGTCGAAAATGTCTCTATAAATATTTAAAATGAATGACTACATTATATCAAAACATGTTTTTTTTCTTACAGAAAATTCGGAATTACTTCAAAATGAACACGTTTCTTGTATATAAATTGGGGAACACAAATATATGTCTTGGTTTAAATTTGAAGTTTGCATTAATAAATCGTTGTTTAAACGACAGAAAAAATATAGATTAGAAATGTAGGAGAGAAAGTTTAGATTCATGTGGATTCATTCTTTAATTTTTACATTACCATCTTCGGTATAGCCTTAGGTTTATGATGATACCAAATTTAGCTGCTACTTTTTGCAATTTCGCGAGCTAGACGCACTTTTATCAGTCTTGTTTTCGTACATTTGAGACACAATTTATTTAGAGCAAACCGCTAATCAGAGGGATGTACGCGCTTTTACTCAACCAGTTCATGAAAAGCGTGGGAAAAGCACTCCACAAATTGACAAACTGCTCGTGATTTAACAGTAGCAAATCTTCTAATATTTTGTTGTTGTTTAGAATACTTTATTAAATTTTGAGCAGCCTAATAATCCAAATATCATATATCATAATGAAGATGATATCTACAAGGAGACCTATATCTAGGCGTCAATTGTTTCTAACTTTATTCAGACATCCAAGACTTTGAAAAGCTTCCTGTTTCAACTTAAGGAGAGGTGAGCTACTACGCGAGTAGTAACAACCTTCCCAAACCTCCTTAAACATTTCAAAAATCATTGCAATATGAACGTGTTTTGCTATTACAATGAAAACTGACATCGTTCAATCAGAAAACAGTACAAAGATGACGTCATATAGATTTGAAAATGCTTTTATTGAATTCTACGGGTATGAAAACCTCTATATAAGTCTTGTATTCGCTTAGATTTGCTTCTGTAATGAGTAATTAATTTTGGCCCACTGTGCGGCGCCAAGAATTACCTGACGAGGGGTGCAACCCCCCAAAAGATATCGACTTATACTCCCGTCGGGAAAGCCTAGCCGCGGCCCTCCCCCGGGGAATTTGTTTTTATTAAGAATAAAATAAAATTTTGTTTTAAGGAATTCTTTACATAAAAAGGATAAAAAAGTTATTATTTAACCAACCGATTACGAAACGTACCTAACAGGTTTTCTGTTGAGCACAAAAGTTCCCATTCGAATACAAGAATTTTTCTCTTTTAAAATTATTTTTAATAATGTATTCTATCAAAGTATAATCAATTTATCCCACAAATATCGGATAATATCTACCTTTCTAATCCGGAAATAAGCAATTAAACGGAATAGCCTAAATGGCCGGCAAGCCACAAGAAAAGAAGTATTTTTGTTCAACCTGCCAAACTGTTGGGACTATTTTACGCGATTTACCATGGGTACTTCTATTGTACAATAATATATAAATAGACTACAGAATTAGTATATCTCAACTTATAATGCTTCATACGAACCTGACTGCATACTATGATTAGTTAAAAGCTTTAATACGTGTAACAACACATCCTATTGCCACTGCACCAGCTCCCACCGACAACACTCAAACGCTATGATAGATAGAAATATTTCTTTATTTTGAATACTTAATCAATTTATATTGTTATTCCTTAAAGTCAGGCTCCAGAGGAAAAAAAATTGTTGATATGTTGTAGAACTGATTTTTCTAAGACAGAAAAAAGTTGTTTGACGAAAAACAGGGGAACGGTGAATGAGATACAGATTTTTTAATATTTAAAAGCTGGGGGAATAAGGTGTAAAAATGGGCAGTTACGCCCCTTTTCCCCCCATTTTTTTTACAGTGGATGGTTACATGAATTTTATCATGAAGTGTATCAAGTTGTTTCTTAGCACGTTTACCGACGCGCCTGTATCTATCATTACTTTCATTTTGTCATTATTGATTAGTATTTCAACATGTGGTTGTTTCTCTTGTGAGTCGGGGGTGCTAGCTTTGACGACATATGCGTATTCTTCACTTGAATCACCATCGCTGGGTGCAGTGTCTATGATTGCATTTGTGCGTTCTCGGTTGCATGCTTTTGTCCGACATTGACTTGCAAAGTGGTTTTTCTTTTGGCAGTAGGTGCAGACTTTACCAAAGGCTGGGCACTCCTTGGGATGCGGATAATCTCCACCACAGTGGTAACACACAGCTGGAGGTTGATTGGCTTGTTTACGATCTACTGCCGGTATATTCTGATGGGTTGGTTGGTATCTAGATGTTTGTTGTTTGTTGTACAGTATGTGGCACCCTTGTTTGGTTTCCTGATCAGAGCTCGTGCATAGTGTTGTGTGTCAGTTTCCGATATCTTCGCAAGTTGAGCTGCTGCGGTGTCGTTGGCACGAATTATGTCAATGGCCTTCTCTAGGGTGAGATTATCAGTACGCAAGAGACGTTGAGTCATACGTGAATCATCGACACCCATGACATTGCGGTCGCGGATGAGGCTAGGCCTTAGCTCGCTAAATTCACATGAGTCAGAAAGGTTGCGTAGGGTTTTTGCATAGGCATCAATGCTTTCCCCTATTTTTTGGGATCTACTATTGACTACATATCGTTCGTAAGTGATGTTCCTCCTGCCTATGCAATGAGTTTCAAACTGTTGAATTACTTTTTCAATATTTGTCTTATCTCCTGAATCTTCCCAAACAAAACTGTTATATACATCAAGGGCTGGCTGGCCAATGATAGAAAGGAGTGTAGCAACTCGTTGTGGATCGTTGTTTTCATTGACCCCTGTCGCCAGTTCAAAGTTTTCAAAACGCTGTCGAAACTTTCTCCAAGCCTCATGTAAGTTGCTGGACGACATGTCCAGTGGGGGCGGTGCAGAGATTGTGAACGCCGCCGAGGTCACTTTGGAGACGGTACAGTTGGAGACAGCCATTTTATCGGATACGGTGGACGTGTGTTGTTTAAGTAATTGAGCTAAAACCTTTAGCTGTAACGTACTTACAGGTCAGTGGAGTTGGTAGGTGGGTTCTATGGATATCACTTATGTTTTCGTCGCCAATGTAATGTTTGTGGAGTGTCTGGTTACTCAAGTTAGAACAGTTAATAACGTACACAACTGACTACGATATAACGTTTACTCGCATGTTTTATTTCCACACTCTAGCATCCTCATTTCCAACATTGGTATTCCACATAATTGAGGGAGGTGTCCAAGGCTACGACACTACAACCTAGACCATAGGCGTAGATCCCGGGGATGGGGGGATATATCCCCCAATATTTGACAAGGGAGGATGGTCCATTGTATCATTCCCCCCCCCCCAATATTTTGACTATGTATGG